CACAGCATGGCATCACAAGGGGTGCATTGGTGCGCGCCCGGGATCCGAACCTTCGAACCCCAGGCCTCTGAAGCAGAGTGCGCGCACTTAACCCCTTGAGCCGCCGGGCCGGCCTCTCTGCCACTCCTTTGTTGATGATCGTTTATGAAATAGCCACTTGGTCTTCTCTTAACTTAGTTTGGAGATTGCCATAGGATTAGACTTGAGTCTATTTGCTCTTTTTTTTTTTTTTTTTTTTGTGAGGACGATCAGCCCTGAGCTACCATCCACGCCAATCCTCCTCTTTTTGCTGAGGAAGACTGGCCCTGGGCTAACATCTGTGCCCATCTTCCTCTACTTTATGTGGGATGCCACCACAGCGTGGCCTGACAAGCAGTGCATCGGTGTGTGCCAGGGATCCGAACCGGGGTCGCCAGCAGCAGAGTGGCATACTTAACTGCTACGCCACAGGTCCGGCCCATCTATTTGCTCTTTGAGGGACCCGAATAAATATTCAAACTGAGAAGAAAATACAAAAGAGTTGTAAAAACACTAATCTATTTTTTTTCCCTTGTCCAGGGATACTTTACCCAAAGATTACTGAGTTATTTAGAAACAGTTGAATGTGGAGGTTACTATATCCTCCATGTTCAACAAGAAGTCCTTGTTGAACACTTTCCCTTTTTGGATATCACCACCCCTGGGCATGAGGGATCATTCAACTTGGTATTCCCCCACTTTTGATTGGGAGTGGCCAACCCTCTCTGATACAGTGAGTCTAAATTTGCGTGGGCCAAAACAGCATGGTACTGGCACAAAAACAGACACACAGATCAATGGAATAGAATCGAAAGCCCAGAAATAAACCCACACATCTATGGACAGCTAATCTTCGACAAAGGAGCCAAGAACATACAATGGGGAAAAGAAAGTCTCTTCAACAAATGGTGTTGGGAAAACTGGATAGCCACATGCAAAAAAATGAAAGTAGACCCTTACCTTACACCATACACAAAAATTAACTCCAAATGGATTAAAGACTTGAATGTAAGACCTGAAACTGTGAAACTTCTAGAAGAAAACATAGGCAGTACGCTCTTCCACATCAGTCTTAGCAACATCTTTTCAAACACCACATCTGACCAGGCAAGAGAAACAATAGAAAAAATAAACAAATGGGACTACATCAAACTAAAAAGCTTCTGCACAGCAAAGGAAACCATCAACAAAACGAAAAGACAACCTAACAATTGGGAGAGGATATTTGCAAACCATACATCTGATAAGGGCTTAATCTCCAAAATATATAAAGAACTCATGCATCTCAACAACAAAAAAACTACCAACCCAATTAAAAAATGGGCAAAAGACCTGAACAGACATTTCTCCAAAGAAGATATACAGATGGCCAACAGACACATGAAAAGATGTTCAAAATCACTAACTATCAGGGAAATGCAAATCAAAACTACAATGAGATATCACCTCACGCCTGTCAGAATGGCTATAATTAACAAGACAGGAAACAACATGTGTTGGAGAGGTTGTGGAGAGAAGGGAACTCTCATACACTGCTGGTGGGAGTGCAAACTGGTGCAGCCACTATGGAAAACAGTATGGAGATTCCTCAAAAAATCAACGATAGAACTACCATATGATCCAGCTATTCCACTGTTGGGTATTTATCCAAAGAACTTGAAAACACCAATTTGCAAAGGTACATGCACCCCTGTGTTCATTGCAGCCTTATTCACGATAGCCAAGACTTGGAAGCAACCTAAGTGCCCATCAAGGGACGAATGGATAAAGAAGCTGTGGTATATATACACAATGGAATACTACTCAGCCATAAGAAACGACGAAATCCAGCCATTTGTGACAACATGGATGGACATTGAGGGTATAATGCAAAGTGAAATAAGTCAGAGGGAGAAGGTCAAATACCGTATGATTTCCTTCATTAAGTAGTAGATAATAACAACAATAAACAAACACATAGGGACAGAGATTGGATTGGTGGTTACCAGAGGGGAAGGGGGGAGGGAGGAGGGTGAAAGGGATAATTCGGTACATGTGTGTGGTGATGGGTTGTAATTAGTATTTTGGTGGTGAACATGATGTAGTCCATGCAGAAATAGAAGTACAATGATGTACACCTGAAATTTTTACAATGTTATAAACCAATGTTACTGCAATAAACAAAAAATTTAAAAAAAAAATAAATAAATAAATAAATAAATTTGCGTGGGGATTAGGTTCTAGTATGTGTACAATAAGGCTAAAAGTAAATCCAATGAGCTCATATTGTCCTGGAAAATCTCTTAAATTTCCCATAAAGCATAGTATAAATGAATTTTGAGTATTTAACTTCGGGTGTGTATGTGTGTGTGTGTACACATATATGTAATGGGTGCAAGTATCATAGGAAATATAAAAAAGATAAAACTGCAGTATTTTTCACTTTGAGAAATAGAGAAAGAAGAATGGAATTTTTTTCTGAGTTTGTAGAGTAGAGTTTTAGAGGAGACTTCCCTCTACTCTTTATGACAGAAAGAAAGCATCATTGCCTTCTGCTAATTCTCCTACTCAAGTCCCAAGAATTGAGAAAATTTGTGACTTTCCCTTCCTCTAGAGAAGGTTTAGTGAGATACAGGAGAGTTGGCATATAATTTTCATAATGATTACAATAACAGACTTTGTTAATAACAGTGATAGTGAAATGGAGCTGGGCTGTCTGGGGCTCTGAAGTCAATCTCAGAGTTAGTGTCTGTGAGGATTGTTAGAAATTCTGTCTCTTCTTCAAGTTCAGTAAAAAACACTGCCTACTAGTAAAGATATGGAATATATCAAGTTTGGAGAATTCAACTTCCTTTAATATCTTTTAACAATGACTTTCCTGAAGTGTAGTGCCACTGGCAGAGTAACAATCTTGGCTGATGATGACCCTCTTCATCTGGGAAAAGCATTTTTGGTGGTCAGGAGGAAAGCTTTGGGAGTATTTGCACGTAGCAATGAGGGAGAATGTGGGGCCCTCCTCTCAACATCGGAGGCAGGGAAACGGGAGGACAGATGTAGCCATACTGTTCTCACATTCTTCTCCGGAAGTTAATCTCCCCAATTCCTTTTTCACTTCACTTCTAGCTTCCCTTCAAACTCTTTGTCTTTATATTACCTTCTCTCTTCCTTTGTTGCTAACACTGAAAGAATCCTTACATAGGAAGGTCATTGGATCTAGAAGTGATTGGCAGGCATGCTGTAGAATTGACTCATTAATTCATTCAGGTCTCTCATCTCATCACTCTCTCTCCCCTTACCGTGCTTTATTTCTCCTCATAAAATTTACCACTTGCTACCTGATTTTTTAAAAATGACGTCTTTATTGAGATAGAATTCACATCACACAATTTACCTATTTAAAGAGCATAATTCAACAGTTTTTAGTGTATTCACTGAGTTGTACAATCATCACCACAATCTAATTTCAGAACATTTTAATCACTCCAGAAAGAAACCCTGTACCCATTAACAGGGACTCCTCCTTCCCTCTTTTCGCTAGATTGGCAAGAACCATCTAATTTCTGTCTTTATGGATCTTCTTATTCTGGACATTTCAGATAAATGGAATCATACAATATGTGGTCATTTGTGACTGGCTTCTTTTACTTTGTGTAATGTTTTCAAGGTTCATTCCTGTTGTAGCACGGATCAATAGTTTATTTCTTTTCATTGCCAAATAATATTCCATTGTATTAATATACTATATTTTATTTATTCCCACACTAGAATATAATAAGCTCCATGAGCATAAGAACATTTTTGTTGCTGTTTACCACTTTATCCCTAGCATCTTGCTCAGTGCCTGGCAGGTAAAAAGAGCTCAATAAATTCGTTGAATGAATGATTCAATCACTCATCCACCGAACCAACATTTGTTAATCACCGCCATATACATTTGTGTTCAACACTCCCCTTTCTCCCCAGGTAGGACACTGGGCCTAGGAGATGAATATGACAAGGGATCTGCCCTCAAGAATCTCATCATCTAGGGGCCTGCCCCGTGGCTTAGCGGTTAAGTGTGCGCGCTCCGCTGCTGGCGGCCCTGGTTTGGGTTCCGGGCGCGCATGGACGCACCGCTTCTCCGGCCATGCTGAGGCCGCGTCCCACATACAGCAACTAGAAGGATGTGCAGCTATGACATACAACTATCTACTGGGGCTTTGGGGGAAAAACAAAAATAAAGAATCTCATCATCTAATGAAGTAACATCTGTGAGAACAAATAAAGTAAAATTAAGAAAATTGATTTTAATAAAGGATATGGACAAAGCACAGTGCATAGACAAAGGGCGCAATTCTGCTTAAGGAAGTTAGCAGTGACTTCATAGCAAAGGCTTCAGCTGAGATGTACAAAAACTAGAGGTTGCCAGACTGACAGCGAGTGGGCTGGGGTCAACCTGAAGGACGCGTAAGCAAAGTGGTAGAGTCTGACCTGAGCACTGGACGTGGGAAACGTAGCAATGCTGGAATTTTTTTGTACAGGTGGCGAGGAGACCCACAGAGGGTGAACTGAGCTAGTAGGCAATGTTCAAATCAGAAATAATTTTATGTGCTCAAAGTGTTAAAATTATTTCCTTAGATACATAAGAAACTGGCAAAAAAGTTTATTTGAGGGTGGACTGTGGGACTAGAGGGAGGAGTGGTAGAAACAGAGATTGGCAAACTTTTAAAAATCGGGCACATGTTCTTTACTATTCAAAAAATACATTTAAAATTTTCTGCTTTAGATGACGGCGATCCACTGTATAACTTGGAGCAGGAGCATGTGGGAAAGTAACTTTGGGGGTAGTGGGATGTGAGGTGGGCAGGAGTCTGGGGGGCAGCTAAGGAGCCCTCTAAGGAGGGAATGGCAATCATGATTTTCGGTCTGTTCTTTTCCTCCTTCGCTTCGCCAACCCTGCATCTACGATACATGGTGTCCCCATGCTCGGATACAAATTCATAGAAGTAATTCAGGGGTAACATGCGGTGACTTGTTTGAAACACTGCACTCCTCAGGAGTGATCGGTGTGTGAGCCTGGGGGCTGGGTCTGAATCTTGGTGCTGGGCGAGACTATACCCTCTGGGGGTGCCTGGGGGAAACACAGTCTTACGACTCTTCCTGCTGATGCAATCTGCAGGGGAGCCATCGATCTCGGCTGCCAGAGGGCCAGTCTGCACTCCCGCCCGCCACGTGTGGCCGCCGCCACCGCAGCCACCGCAGCCACTTCCCCAGACCTTCCCGCAGCCGCCGACCCGGACCGCACGGAGGGCCCGGGACGCATCGGGTTTGCCCTCGGCTCAGCTCCAGCTGTCCTCCCGGCCGACAGAACAATGAAGGTAACTGCTCATGGCTTTGTATTTTACAAAGATGTGTGTATGGATCGAACCGATGATTCCTTAGAGACACAGTTGGCAGAAAGCGGACGTAGGAGGGACCACCATGGTTTGTTGCCACGCAGACGTTTCTAATAGCTTCTTTGCCAATCATCGTTGGTCGGGACCTTCCATTCTTTTCTTTTCAGACTTCTGTTGAACCTCCGCTCACAGGATGTGCCTCCTCAGGCTTTTTCACAGTTGCTTTTGTGAACCGAGATAAAAAGCTGCTCGCAGCTCCCTCCCCTGCCTGTTTCGAAGTTTGGAAAGGAAGAGGAAGCTTTTCTCAATTTCTAAGATGCACAGGAGGTGGGGGATTTTGGAGAAGAGGCATGGGGGCGTCCCTGGCTGTAAACATGGGTTTTCTGCTGGGTGTGTGTAGTGTAGGAGGGAGGTGCGGGACTAGGTGAGGACGGCGGGAGAGGGGAGGAAAAACTGTCTCATCGTTATTAAAAGCAGAAGGCTCATCTTATTTTGTTTCTTGTGGAATTAAAGCTTCTAGGAGTAACAAACCATATAAGCCTAAGGGCATGCTTTCATTAAAGTGAGTGAGCCCACCAATGACTTATTCTATGCTAATCAAGGATAATTAGCCTAGTTGCCTATTATTTCTGAAGTTTTAGGTCTAGAAAGGAACAATGTTAATTTCTGTTTTCCTGGTCTCACACACTGGAAAACTGTAATGACATTAAAACCTGAAGAGCAGCTTTTTAAAAGGAAAGTCCTGCCATCTGACATCTTGGAAACAAGAGATTCCTATATGCAATCTGAACTCTTAGGAGAAGTAAAGCTATGATTCAGAGTTTCCAAGGAGGGAGATGAAGTACATTGGCAACTGCATTTATCCACAACCCATCCCAGACCACAATTTCATTTACAAGACAAAATATGTAAATGGTGCCTTTTTCACCAAAAATTTCTGCTAAGATTAAGCAGAAACGGAATGGAAACACTGTTTTGAATTAAAAAGAGATAACGCAAATGTGCCACAGTGAAAATTTTAGCAACTTTTTTTTTTCTGTAGTTAGATGTTCTATTTCTGGCTCGTTCATGCCTGTGTAATTTCAGCTGAAAAATACACTTTGAGTATAGCATTCGTGAGTAAAAGGAGAAAATGATGAGAATAAACAGTTTTGCTTCTCCGGCTTTTCCTTGTCCTATGTGGAATTGTAGCTGATTATGCATTTTTGTAAGTTAATGGTACTTTGAGTCCAAAAACCCCTGTCCCTTTTACAAGGTACTTTTATAATGCAGGAAACTAGAGGACATCTTCAAGTAGTCTTATTTCTGTTTCCTGATATTTTACTAAGATTTGGAAAGAAATGATTGTATTCTAGGCACTGAGGTTCCTTTAAGTTTGTTTTTACTATTTCAAAAAACTTTCTACTTACCTTTTATCTAAGTATTGCTGTCATAATCTTTTTTTTTTTTTTTTTGGCTGAGGAAGATTCGCCTGAGCTAACATCCTCCTCTTTTTTTACTTGAGGAAGATTAGCCCTGAGCTAACATCTGTGCCAATCCTCCTCTATTTTTTTGTATGTGGGACACCGTCACAGCACGGCTGGTGAGTAGAGTAGGTCCGCGCCCAGGATCTGAACTTGGGCTGCTGAAGCAGAGCACGCGGGACTTTAACTCGAACCACTCAGCCACGGGGACAGGCCTTCATTATTATTATTTTATTAAAATGTTATTTGCACATGGCACCATGATAGGCTCTGTCCTGAGCAAATTTTCTAGACATGGTCTTGCTTGGGTGCTTATATTTTAAGATGAACACAGACAGAATGGGCAACCAGATAAGAAAAATAGCATATACATTGAATAGCATGTGTATAAAAATGGTAAGGACATATGATTCACTGAATTAAGGTAGAGATTTAAAACAGACACCTTGCAAAGGACAGAAACAAGAGAAGTCATTGTCAGGGATGCATGGTTAAGTGAAGGAAAGGAGAGTGCTGGGACTGGCAGGAAGGGAGAGGGCTGTTTGTGTGAGTGCAGGGGGCAAGACAAGAGGCCTGGAAGGGAGAGGGAGTTTACATTCCAGACACAGGATGTGGCCCCTCAGGCCGGGCTCAGAGATGCATAGCTAGTTAAGCAGGCCTAACAAAAAGCCATTGGTAGTACCTGTGGTGATGAGAAAAAGGAAAAAGGGAGAAAAAAAGATAAGAATGTAATTTTGGCCAATATTTCACTTAGTGAGTTTACATAATAAATAACTTCATTTGATTTTAGAACTACAGACAGAAAAGAAGAAGAGTTAAGAAAATTTTCCATTTGTATGCAAGAATTTCTCTTGCCTATCAGCTGATTGAACCTGAGAAGATCTAATTGTTTGAAATGGATTTAAAACCTTATAAACAGTCATTTGATTATTACAGAGGTTTGTGCTAAGAATTAAAATCAAGTTATGGTTTCCTGCAGTAGTCGTGTATCTCCCAATTGTTTTCATAAATTTAGATTTTATCCCAGTTCAGGTTAGGACTTTTAGCTCTGCAGGGGAGGAAAAATAATTTTCCCTCTATGCTTCTGGGTTCTTGGCTGAGCCCCCTCGCCCCGTAATAAAACAAACTAACAGGAGAAAAACAAATGGAAGTTTAATAACGTGTATACACCTTGTATACATGGGAGATACCCAGGAAAACTGAGTAACTCCCCGAAATGGCCCAAGTCACCACCTTAAGTATCATCCTCAGCTAAAGACAAAAGACAGATTTTGGCAGAGGGGCAGTTATCACACAAAGCACAGTAAACAAGGGTAAGGTTGCAGATTTCAGTGGGTGGTGCCTTCTCCATAGATAAGAGTTTCTAGAGATTTAGTTTTCCTTCTTTTCCTGGTGCCGAGAGGGAGACACCCTTACAAATGGAGATTTCCCTCATGAATGTAAATTTTCCTCAGGAAAGGCAACTTCTGCTCTGTTTTCAGAGATTCTTCTGTTTTCAGCATCTCAAAAATAATCAGCCCCAAATAATCCTTATGCCATACAGCGATATTTTTGGGGTGACATATTCTGCTCCCCTTCAGTTCCTTATTTCTAATAGCAAGATATAGACCAGGGAAGTGAACAGCTGGATAGTAGTGTTATTAACCCGAGAGGTCTGGGCTTATGAGGAAACTGTTTCTCTGCATAAATGAAGAATTGTTTCTAAACTGCGGCCATCTTGAGTGTTTCGGTTGGGTATATCTTTTGGGGTTTCAAGTTGTCTGCTTATTTGAATGGCCTCTTCTCAATGAGTGTAGGAGGATGGAAACGAAGAGCTTTCTTTAATTCTCTTTAGGCTGGGCAACCACAATTCTAAATAACAGATAGCTACCTAGGGAAACCCAGCGGAATGTTCAGCCTTATGACCAAGGGGATTTTGCTACCATATTAGAGTGGAAATCTGGTACCTTCCCTAACAGACATCTTTATCCCAGGCATCCTCTACTTTCTGTGTGATATTATCATTCTTTTGAGCACAGAAGGAAACTGGCTGGTCTGCTCACTTTACAGTTGTAAATGTGGGCAGTCTTTGCGTTGTAACGTTATCCCCTGAACAGCTGTCCACATGCTTTAAACATTTAACATAACATATGGTAAACGTTCCTATTGATGGGCTTTCCTGAGCCCCTGTAGCCCATTTGGTAATACATGTCAGTGCCCATTCAACTAAGGCCACTGAAATTGGATTCCATATAAATCAACTGAGACATGAATGTGAGGTGCAACTCATATTTTTTAAACGTTTAAAAATTAAGCATTTGAGATTCATAAACTGATTCATAAACATACTTTCAAAATATTTGCAAACATTTTTATAAGATGTAGTCTGTGATTCACAACATCAATGGTGAATGCAAAACCAAAGCAGAATAGGTCTTTTCTATAACACCAGAGTTCAAGAGCCAATAGCACCTATGCTTCTAATTAATCCTCTCAAATCCACAAGTGAACAATATTACCTCTAGACATTGAGTACTTATATCCTTAAAATAAATGGAATTTAATTTCCTTGGAAATTATATCATCTTAATAATACAGCACAGCACATCACAAACATTTTTCTATTGTCACATAGGCCATGACTATTTTGCAAAACATTTTTCTCGTGTTCAGTGATTGATGGGAGAAAGAAAATCTTAAAGAGGTAATCATGCTCTAAAAATATAGGAAAAACATTAAGAAGAAAGGAGAAAGGAAGTAAAGAAAAAAAAGAGGAAATTACACTACAACAAGCAGTAATCCAGAGGCGTCATATTGAAAAAACACGTGCTTCTTTGTGACTGAAAAATTGTGAAATACTTGTCAAGTCAACTACTTCCATTAACAATAGTCCTGTATTTCATCTAGAAAGAACCAATTTATTAGTTCTTTATTTTGATATGTAGGTCTGAATATTTGATCAATTGCATTTACGGTCTATCTCTTAGTGTGAGAAATGTTTTTGCTATTTTGACTGTAGATGGTTATTTGCCTTAGGAAGCCCTAAGTAGTCTAGGATGTAATTAGAGAGTTCAAATTCTATCTGACTCCTCATAAATCTAGACAGAAGGAACACCTGTTGGGATATTCTAGGCCGAACATGCCACAGATGTCTCTTACGTGACTGACAAAGATCTCAATGCAGTTTGGGCACATCCTGGAATGAAGCCAAGGACGTGTTTGCACGGTTTGATCTCTCAGCAGTTAGCATTCCACCACAACATTAAAGGGTGATTTTGCCAAGTACATTTCATTTTAGCTGATTCAGATTCAAAGTTATATTGTTTTGATTTTAGTACCAAATGTTAGTTCAGGAATCTGAAATCACAGTAAATGTTTCTTTGAACTTTGAAGATAAAAGGTAGAGTTAAACGGAGCTATCAAGTCTACATGGGGAAGCATAATGCATTACTCAGGGATTCCATGGTTTTCAATGTTGGTGAATGTTCTGTATCGTACTTGCAAGGTTAGCATTGGTGTTTATAGAAAAAACACATCCAG